AAACAAAGAATAAAAAAAAATCCTCTGACAGAATTGTAGTTTATCTAAAAATCTATCAATTTGTCAGAGGGTTTTTTTGATTTAGCTTGTTTTAAAAAAGTTATACCACTTTAAAGGTTTATTAATAGACATTGGATGTCCCGCACTGTATAAACGCCAAATTTTTGAATCATATATAAATTTAAATTAATATAACTAAAAGCTATTAAATTATCAAAAAAAAAATTTAAATATCTTCTGTTTTTAAAAAGTTATATCAATTTAAAAATTTTTATAATTAAAAGTTGATGGCTTTAGGTGGTAGCCACTGTAGTAAATTCGGATTTGTTATTGAGAATATTCATCAAAAATAAAGAAAAGTCGACTTCTGGTAGGTGCACAATTACGTGAATGGTAGTGCCCGTAGACTTTTCCTTTTGGTGGCTATACTGGGGTGTATCTCCGTAACTCTTTCATAGGTAGTTTAAAAGGTTTAGAAGGGTTGTATGTATATTATATCAAAGGTTTTTGAAAGATACTTGTTGAAAAGAATTATTTTCTACCTGTGTAAGTCTCCCGGCTATTTCAGCATTTCCTATACATAGCTAGCTAAATCGGACTTAGTCATCGTGTAACATGCTTCTATTTTTAGATACAATTGTTTTGACATTGGTTGTTAAATAAACTGATGATGTCGCGATCCAAAATTCAACCTTTCACTTTTGATATCCATGATGGAAATTGATTCAAACCCTACTGAAAATTCTTCTCTTCAAAACGACGATAGCAAATATCCAGGCAATGTTGTTGCTACTGAACTTCCCTGGTAACTAACGCGAATACTGCGCTCTTTTTAATAAGGCGCGTTATAACAGTTATAATAATGCTTTTTCCTATTTATTTTTTTGAAAGGGTTGAAAAATATCGTCCGTTTTTAATGAAAGACGTAATAGGAAATGAGGATGTTGTCAACAGATTACAAATAATTGCTCAACAAGGAAACATGCCTAATATGCTTTTATCCGTAATTTTTTTTTTTTACTTACTTTTAATTTAATATCTTTTAACTGGTTTTGCTATACAATCCCATTTAACATTCATTATTTTGCAGGGCCCGCCCGGTATTGGTAAAACGACAAGCATCCTATGCTTAGCAAATGAATTATTGGGTCCTCAAGCCAAAGATGCTGTATTAGAGTTAAATGCTTCTGATGATAGGTAAATTTTTATTTATTATTTCATAATTCTTTTATGATCTCTCTTCCAATATTTCTAATATTTGATTTTAGGGGTATTGACGTTATCAGAAATACAATTAAAACATTCGCGCAAACTAAAGTCACACTTCCAGCTGGCAGGCATAAAATTGTTATTCTTGATGAAGCTGATAGGTTGATTGTGATTATTTCAATAATTTTTTTTTGGTTTATAAAAACTTATTTTTTTTTATTCTTTTTAATAAAGCATGACTGCTGGTGCTCAGCAGGCTCTTCGTCGTACTATGGAGATTTATTCTAATACAACCAGGTTTGCTTTGGCGTGCAATACGGCAAATAAAATCATCGAACCTATTCAAAGTAGATGCACTATTTTAAAGTATAGTAAATTGTCGGATAAGGCAATATTGAAGAGATTAAAGGAAATTTGTGAACTTGAAGGTGTGAGTACATTAGTTCGAATCTTTTTTTTTTTTCTTTTTTTTTTTTCTCAATATTTATTATTAACGTTTTATCAGGTAAAATATAATTCGGAAGGTCTTGAAGCGATCATTTTCACAGCTGAAGGGGATATGCGTCAGGCTGTCAACAACCTTCAATCTGCATTTATAGGATTCAGTTTTGTCAATGCCGAAAATGTTTATAAGGTTTGTGATCAACCGCACCCTGGAGCGGTATCAAAGATTCTTGATAATTGCTATAACTATAGGGTGGATGAAGCGTTGACAGGATTGACTGAACTGTGGGAAAAAGGTTACAGTGCGTTGGATATTGTTACAACATTGTTTCGCGTAGTGAAGTTTAATAATGAATGGCCAGAAGGTCCAAAATTGGATTTTATAAAGGTAAGAAAAAAAAAGGTTCGATATGGTTATAATTTTTTCTATTATTCTAAATAGAGATTTTTGTTAATATTGATTAAAGGAGATTGGATTTGCTCATATGAAAGTTTTGGAAGGCGTTTCCACTCATCTCCAGCTCACTGGCCTTGTGTCACGATTGTGTATGCTGTCAGAAAAGTAGAAAGGGGGAATCTACTTTTTGACTAAAAAATTTTTATTAGCTCATTAAATAAAGCATAATCAGTTATATAATTCTAATCAAAAGTTAAATTGTGCTGGTTTAATAATTTTTAAGTTTTACATATGACCTTTACCATCTGGAGTGGCACGATTTTTACATGAAAAATTAAAAATCACGTGTATTATGCAATTGTATATATAAATAATATCTCTTTTTCTATTGAACAGTGCCCAAATGTTATTTTAGTATACTATTTAGTATTAATGAATAATATCTAAGTGAAAGGTATGCGATGTTTTATTAAATAATTATTATTAACATAGGAATATTAAAATTTCAAATTGTTTATAAGAATTTACTTCCTTTTTATTTTATTTATTTATTTTTTTACTTAGGTAGTTTTGCTGATATTTTATTAAGATTCTAAGTATATTGCTACATTAATACACTTGTTAATTTCTAATTTACAAATTTGATATCACCTGGCTATCTTAAAGGCAGTATTGTATATAAGACAATTTTAGATATTTTTTCAAATTAAAATTACTTGAAATTTTATTAAGATAATCTATTTTAATTTTTTATAAATAAATCTAGCATTTAAAAAAATATATAATTATATATTTTTTTAAAGAATAAATATTAGTGTTATACTCTGTTATATTAATTATTTGTTATATAATATATAAATTTTAAAATCATGTGTATAATTTTACATATTATTTATGCATTTCATCAAAACTTTTATCTTAATAGATGATTCTCTAGTTACCTGGTTTAAAAATTTTTTTTTATAACTAAATTTTACTATAAGTGTGAATGTAAATGCCTCTATCTAAAAATTTTTTTTATACTAAGTAAATCACTCTTTGGCTTCTAACAAAAGTTGTAAACATTAAAAACTTGACACTCTCCCCAACAATCACTTATATCAAATTTTCCCACTAAACAAAAGCAAAAAATTTGTTGGAGTAGTTGACACAACTATCGGCGGTTCTTGCAAAGATCAACCTTATGCTTGGAGAACTCCTTTGATATATTTGGCATGCAAACCAAAAGCATTAGAATACAAGATAACTGGCAGATAGTGCTCTTGTATACAAAATTTTGGTGTCGACGGGCTTAAAGAAAAAGTGGTCTTCGCCGATGAAGCAACCAAGAGACAATAAAGAAAAGAGAAACAACAAATGAGCTTTTTAACACACTTCTTGGAAAGTTTGAAGTACCTAACTCTGACAAATATTATAGTTATTTATATTCCCACCAGGTTTTTTGGTGTTTCTCTCGAAATTTTTTTCAAAAAGTGGGAAAATTAGCATATCTCTGTTAAGGATCAGCAATGTTTACTTCTGCCAAATTGGGATGGCAAGTCACGAGGAAATCATGCGCTATACACCTGATGACCGTTAAATGACATGTAGATGATGAACAACTATTTGGTTTTGGATCCGCTAGGGTAAAGAAAAAAAATTTTGTATTCCTCACATAATAAGAATATTATAATACTGAAGTAAAGCAAAGGTGGAGATTGTTTTACGGAGTATTAAATAATTTTTTAAAAAAATCTTAGAAAGTGCTGGGGTATCTGATGCTTTTGTATCGTTGCTTTTTCTTTTCTTTTTTTTATCATTTTATTTCTTTTTGTTATTTGGTTTTTGTTTAGATATTGTAGTTTCTCCACTTTTTTTCTATCCTTTTTTAGTTTAGTTTTTTTAGTTTACTTGTTGTTTTTAAGACAAGGATTGCAGAATCCTCTTGTTTGGATACTAAGAAAAGGAGAGTCTTAAAGAAATTAGTAGTCATGACATGCGGTAGACATTACTGTTGATAAACTTATCTACTTTGGTTTCAGAAGCGGTAAGGAAGGAGGTGAAATCTACTATAGCAGGTCGCATATAGGTGCCAATTAGGGTAACTGGGTGAGTCAGAACTTGTAACTTAGACGACCTAAACTAGTGTTTTGGTTAAATGGTTAAGCATACAGTATAGCTGTGCTTATGAGAATTTAATAAAGTTTTGGCATGACTGCCGGATTGATTTAAAAAAAAAACAAAAGTTGTAAAACTCATCAAAATATATTTAATACTGTAAGAATATTAAAATTGACCTAGTAATTTTTAAGAATCTTTAAAAAACTTCTTTTTTATATATAAAATTTCTTTAAAAAAAATCTTTTTTAATAAAATTTTATATATAAAAAAAAAGTTTTTTAAAGATTCTTAAAAACTACTAGACCAATTTTAATATCCTTACAGTATTAAATACATTTTGATAAACTTTACAACTTTTATTAGAAGCCAAAGAGTGATTTACTTAGTATAAAAAAAGTTTTAAGATAGAGGCAAGTATATTCACACTTATAGTAAAATTTATATATATAAAAAAATTTTTGTACCAAGTAACTAGAGAATTGCCTATTAAAGTAATTTTTAATGACTTCTAACAGAACCTATCTTTATTGTACCATCTTTTTAATACTTTATGGATTCTTTTTACTATTCTTTATTTTTGATAGAACCTAATTAGTTTTGCAATATATCAATATTCTTTGTATATTTTTTTAACAATACTATTATATATTTATAGATTAATAAATTTGAAATTAAATTAGTAAAAGCAACTTCTAAATATGATAGAACAAATAGTTAATATTGAATCTAGTATTTTCTATATAGTTAATACTAAAGTTAATAGTTGTATTAGATTAAGTGAATACTAAAGCTAGTACTTTCTACATAGTTAATACTAAAACTAGTTTCTTCTATATACTAAATACTAAAGCCATTGCTGTCTTTTATATAGTTAATACTCAAACTAATATCTTACATGCTGCTGGCACTAAAGCTAATGCCTCTTACAAAAATATGGTTTATAACAAATTCGAAGGCTTCTATAAAAATACAACTATTGGAGTAGTTAATATAGATATTAGTAGTGCTATAATGTAAAAATAATAAGTTGTTTTAGTTTCAATGTTAATATAGTATTTTGACTTTTTAAAAATATCTTTAAGCAAGATATTATATAATTTTTTTTTGTTAAAAGTTAGATATATATTTAGTTTGTAGAATGATATTAACTCTTTTCTTAAAGCTTATAGTTAATATAATAGGTTTTATATTATCAAAAAAAGAGTTAAACAATATAGTGATAGTATAATTAAGTACTGATTTTATAGATGCAAATTTGGAAAAAAGTATGTATCTAAAAAGAATATTGATATTAATACTTATCATAACTAATAATAAAAACATCAAGGATGTAAATAGTATATTAACTTAATTAAATCTTTCTAAACAATTTACTTATATTATATTAGCAGAAGTTTAATCAATAGTCTGAATTATGGATCCAATATAGCATGTCCACAAATCATATATTAACTATTAATCTAGGTGAGTCTTGACTACTCTAGTAGGTTTAGGTCGCAGATAATTAGTTTGAGTCTTTAGTTTTTCTTTAGTCCAATCTTTTAGTCTGAGCTCTTATTCTTATATGTAATTTATATCTATTTGTCTTGTACAAGTTGGGTTTTTATTATAATCACCTAAATAAGTTACCAAATAAAGATATAAGCAAGGCCTCACCTTAATAACAAAAAAAAAAAAAAAAATTTACTCATATTATAGTTATAACATTTATTAATACTTACAATTATAAACTTTACCCTAAAAGTAATAAATATAGTGCAAAATTTAGATCTATTAGAAAGAATTTGCTAAATGATATTGAATTTTATACAAAAAATAGAAATCTTTTAATATTGTACAATACAGATTGTTAAAAGCCAAATATCCAAATATGATCTTTCTAGATATAAATCTTTCTAATACTATTCAACATTATAAAATCAAATCTCAAGATATTATAGAAGATACTTTACATTTTCTATTATTTCTTATTGAAAAACAAAAATTAGGCTAGTGTGTTAGTTCGATAATAATCAAAAATCTGTGAAGATTTGTAACTTACAACTATTTTTAAAGAAAAATTTTTTATAAATTCTGTACAAATATTTAGAAATATATAAATCTGTGTAGATTTTTATTAGTCCTCTAACCTGTTAACCAATTGACCTACTAATCTATTTATCTGTACTAATCAAATTACAAAATTTTAATAATGTAAAATTTTCTAAGTTTTTTTTATTACAACTCAATTTAAAAAACTTTTATTTACTATATAGAAGAGTGTTATAGCAACTAACTATATAATTATTGTAAAAAATATATATTCTTAGCATAGCAAAACATAAATTAAAAGAAAAAAACAAAGATTCTCAAATCTCTATTCCTGGCGCCATTTCAATACTCTAGCAAAACACAAACTTACAAGAAAGAAAAAAGCAAAAAATGAAAAAATAGCTGAAAAACAAAAAAAAAAAACAAACAAGAAACTAGTACTTATCTTTTTGTACTAGTTTCAGTTCCTGAATCTCTATCCCAATGCCATTTTAGCACTCCAGCAAATGAATCTCTATTCCTGATACTATTTTAAATACACCAGCAAAGCATGAATCTACAAGAAAAAAAATTAGCAGTAAACCGAAAAAAATAACTAAAAGAACAAACAAGAAACTAGTATTTACCTTTTTGTACTAGTTTTGGTTTCAAATTTCCATTCCTGGTGCTATTTTAATACTCTAGTGAAACACAAAAGAAAAGGCAATAAACTGAAAAATAACCAAAAAACTAAAAAAAAAACAAACAAAAAACTAGTTTTAGTTTCTAAATTTCTATTTCCAACACCATTTCAATACTCCAGCAAAATACAAAAAAAAAGGCAGTAAACCAAAAAAATAACCAAAAAACTGAAAGCAAAACAAGCAAGAAATTAGTACTTATCTTTTTGTACTAGTTTCGGTTTCTAAATCTCTATTTCTGGTGCCATTTTAATACTTCAGCAAAACATGAACCTACAAGAAAAAAAATATAGTAAAATAAAAAAAAATATAAAAGAAAAACAAGCAAGAAACTAGTACTTATCTTTTTGTACTAGTTTCAGTTTCCAAATCTCCATTCCTACACCATTCCAATACTCTAGCAAAACATGAAAGAAAAAGGTAATAAAATAAAAAAATAACTGAAAAACTAAAAGCAAAACAAGCAAGAAACTAGTACTTATCTTTTTGTACTAGTTTTAGTTTCTGAATTTCTATTCCCGATACTATTCTAATACTTTAGTGAAACATGAACCTACAAGAAAGAAAAATACAATAAACTGAAAAAATAACTGAAAAACTAAAAGAAAAACAAGCAAGAAACTAGTACTACCTTTTTGTACTAGTTTCGGTTTCTGAATTTCTATTTCTGGTATCATTTCAATACTTTAG